TCTGAAATTTTTAGTATTTTATGAAAATAATTAATTGTTTGCGTAGAATTTTATTAATATTTTTTTGTAAATAATTGAATTCTTTTGGATAATTTTATTTAAATATTAGATATGTTGAAAATCATTGAATTAAGACAAATTTTTTTAATTAATTGAAATTCTGACAAGAATTTTAAAAAAATTTTTGAAAATAATTAAATTTCGGAAAAGAATTTTATTGTTTCCAAAAAAAAATTGAAATTTTATTCTTTTTTTTATTTAAATGAATTTGAATTTTTCACTCTAGTTTAGTGAATTATTAAAAATTAGTATATTTTTCCCAAACTTATAAATTAGCTTCCATTGTCGAAAATTTAAAAATGTCTGAAAATTCAATAAAGCAGATTCTAATTTAATGAATAAAAATCTCTATATATTGAGAAATAACGATAATAAAAAAAAGATTAATTAATAAAAATTTAATAAAAATTGTAGACGGTATTAAAAAAAAATGTACTAGATCGTGTTCAACGGTGTAATAATATCTAAAAGGTAAAAAATACACAAGTTTTATTTAATCCTTCTCCATATAAAAAAAAGTTACAATTATCCTGATTTTGATTATGATTTCTTTGTGCTTTTTATATTGAGAAAAGAGGTGAATTTTATGGAGTAAATTCACGTGAGCTTTATAAATGCACGCGTACTTGCGTGTCGGAGGCATTGATGACTCGTTGCTCGTTGCGATACTAATTGCGTGCTTCGATAGCTTCGAGCAATTTGCACGGCGTTGTGGTGACGAGTTTCAATACCTTTAGCACTTAATATTGTTACCCTGTTAACACTGCGCCTGTTACGCAATTCGAAAATGGAAAATGAACTGCAGCTGGAACAATTACAATAACAAGGAGACGGTTTTTTTTTGTATGTTCATTTCGAATATGTAACTAATTATTGCCTTCGCTCGAATATTCCCGTTTTTTTTTCTCTATTCTTTTACGTCCATTATTTTCATTTTTTTACTACCAGTATTTTAAGCAAAAAAAAAAATAAATAAATTCTCTCAAAAACTTGTTATTTTTTTGCGCGTTAGTTAAAAAAAACTTTTCAATAGTATGAATAGAATTTTTTGATTCGAGTGTAAAAAAATAATTTGTTTCGTATAACAAATCTGTTTCTTAACAAATCTGAATTTTATTATTGTTATTGTTTATTATTTTATTTGTATTATTTTTGTTATATGTTTATTTCTTATTTTTTATTATTTTGTTATTTGTTCATTATTCTTTATTATAGAAATAAATGTGAAATTAGAAAAAAAAATCCAGTCACGAGAGGAATCGAACTCACGATCTATGCACTCGAAGTACAATGCACTAACCACGAAGCTATGACACACAAATTTTTGTACTATTCGTCCTTTTCTTTCAAATCCTATTTTTTTCAAGAACTAAATGAAATTTAATTCTTCAGGGTTGCCACAAAAATTGAATTTTGTTTTTCCCTGACTTTTCTTTTTTTAGATTTTCTGGAAATAATTGAATTTCTTCGAAGAATTTTATTAATTTTGAAAAATAATTAAATTTTGCAATGAATTTTATTAAAATTCCTAAAAATAATTGAATTTTGCAATTAATTGAGCTCCCGCGTGCAATGACTCGATCTGCGCTCGGACGCACTCTCTAATACCAGTCGGGTGGCAGTGAGTGGTGCAGAGGCGCTCACTGCTCCCCGACTGGTACTAGAGAGTGCGTCCGAGCGCAGATCGAGTCATTGCACGCGGGAGCTCAATTTTATTAAATTTCTTGAAAATAATTGAATTTTGCAAAGAATTTTATTAAAATTCCTTAAAATAAATAAATTTTGCAATTTATTTATAAAGATAATTGCAATGTTTACCATTTTTTTTTTTGATTTTTCGAAAATAATTGAATTTCTTCAAAGAATTTTATTAACTTTAAAAATAATTGAATTTGGCAAAGAATTTTATTAAAATTCCTGAAAATAATTGAATTTTGCAAAGAATTTTATTGTAATTCCTGAAAATAATTGAATTTTGCAAAGAATTTTATTAAAATTTCATAAAATAATTGAATTTTGCAATGAATTTTATTAAATTTCTTGAAAATAATTGAATTTTGCAAAGAATTTTATTAAAATTCCTTAAAATAAATAAATTTTGCAATTTATTTATAAAGATAATTGCAATGTTTACCATTTTTTTTAGATTTTTTGAAAATAATTGAATTTCTTCAAAGAATTTTATTAACTTTGAAAATAATTGAATTTGGCAAAGAATTTTATTAAAATTCCTGAAAATAATTGAATTTTGCAAAGAATTTTATTGAAATTCCTGAAAATAATTGAATTTTGCAATGAATTTTATTAAAATTCCTAAAAATAATTGAATTTTGCAATGAATTTTATTAAATTTCTTGAAAATAATTGAATTTTGCAAAGAATTTTATTAAAATTCCTTAAAATAAATAAATTTTGCAATTTATTTATAAAGATAATTGCAATGTTTACCATTTTTTTTAGATTTTTTGAAAATAATTGAATTTCTTCAAAGAATTTTATTAACTTTGAAAATAATTGAATTTGGCAAAGAATTTTATTAAAATTCCTGAAAATAATTGAATTTTGCAAAGAATTTTATTGAAATTCCTGAAAATAATTGAATTTTGCAATGAATTTTATTAAAATTCCTAAAAATAATTGAATTTTGCAATGAATTTTATTAAATTTCTTGAAAATAATTGAATTTTGCAAAGAATTTTATTAAAATTCCTTAAAATAAATAAATTTTGCAATTTATTTATAAAGATAATTGCAATGTTTACCATTTTTTTTAGATTTTTTGAAAATAATTGAATTTCTTCAAAGAATTTTATTAACTTTGAAAATAATTGAATTTGGCAAAGAATTTTATTAAAATTCCTGAAAATAATTGAATTTTGCAAAGAATTTTATTGAAATTCCTGAAAATAATTGAATTTTGCAATGAATTTTATTAAAATTCCTAAAAATAATTGAATTTTGCAATGAATTTTATTAAATTTCTTGAAAATAATTGAATTTTGCAAAGAATTTTATTAAAATTCCTTAAAATAAATAAATTTTGCAATTTATTTATAAAGATAATTGCAATGTTTACCATTTTTTTTTAGATTTTTCGAAAATAATTGAATTTCTTCAAAGAATTTTATTAACTTTAAAAATAATTGAATTTGGCAAAGAATTTTATTAAAATTCCTGAAAATAATTGAATTTTGCAAAGAATTTTATTGAAATTCCTGAAAATAATTGAATTTTGCAAAGAATTTTATTAAAATTTCATAAAATAATTGAATTTTGCAATGAATTTTATTAAATTTCTTGAAAATAATTGAATTTTGCAAAGAATTTTATTAAAATTCCTTAAAATAAATAAATTTTGCAATTTATTTATAAAGATAATTGCAATGTTTACCATTTTTTTTTAGATTTTTCGAAAATAATTGAATTTCTTCAAAGAATTTTATTAACTTTAAAAATAATTGAATTTGGCAAAGAATTTTATTAAAATTCCTGAAAATAATTGAATTTTGCAAAGAATTTTATTAAAATTCCTGAAAATAATTGAATTTTGCCAAGAATTTTATTAAAATTTCATAAAATAATTAAATTTTGCAATGAATTTTATTAAAATTCCTGAAAATAATTAAATTTTGCAATTTATTTATAAAAATAATCAAATGTTGACCATTTTTTTTAGATTTTTTTGAAAATAATTGAATTTCTGGAAAGAATTTTAATTATTTATCAAGAAAGTTGAATTCCTTCAAAAAATTGCGTTAAAATTTAAAAAATTAATACTAATTTCAACAGAATTGAAATTAATTTTTTTTTTGCTAAAAAATTGTTTTTATTATTATTTTCTATTTATTTATTTAAATAAATTATTCATTTACTTATTCATTATTCAACAATAAGTCAATTTAGTAAAAATGTTTTTTCTTTTTTTTTTTGGAAGAAGATTAAAAAAATTTATTACTGTCAACAAAGTCTTTTATGTAAATGCTCACTAGGAATATAAATAATCCTAAGTACATGCGCTCAGAAAATCGCCGGACGTAATAATTGCTGCCGGTCAGCGTAATAAAAGAAAAGTTGCACTTGATTTCTATGAATTGACGGTTTCGTTGTAATAACTCGAGTTTGCAACCGTTGACAATAATATTTATAAACGAAAGATGAAGAAGAATATTTAAATAACATTTTAATTCTGAAATAAACACACGAATTAATGGTGTAATTTTTTTTGTCATCAATAATATTTTAATAAATATTCTTTTTATTCAAGTTTAAAATATTAAATATCAAGGTTGAGTTAAATTAAAAATATTTTAATACTAGGCTGTCCGCTAGGGGTTTGGTTTCTACTTTTCTGAAAAGTAGAAACCAAACCCCTAGCGGACAGCCTAGTATTTGAATATTTTAAATTTAACTAAAAACTTGATATTTAATATTTAAACTTGAATATTATTATAAAACTTCTATTGTAGTAGTTACAAAAATTGGCATTAGAAAGTCTTTTGTGGTAAAAAAAAAAATTGCCCGCTAGGGGAATCGAACCCTGGACCTGAGCTCTTCGAGACGGATACACTAACCACGAGGCTAACGCACACGTTAAATTTCTTGACCGCTTACCCTCGAAAAACGCGAAGGAACTGTCACTGCTCGAAGTGGACTTGAATCTTTAGAGGCTCGTGAATCTTTAGAGATTGAATAATTGAAGAAAAGGAGAATAGTACACAGAAAATAGAATAATCTAATTTTAAGAAGCGCCTACTTAAATAGGATTCAAGAATATTCCCTACTTAATTTAAATGGGCCACTTAATTTAAATGGAGAATATTTTCTTGGCTTCTATTTAAGTAGGATCTTCTTAAAATTAGATTACCATTTTTTCTGCGCAGTAATAACAGTATTCGATTTTGGATGAAATTTGAATTGATGAATTTTTGTTTTGATTGCAGCAGGGTTGCGGGCAGTTCAGACATGGGAAGTGAGCATTACTGCCTGAGGTGGAACAATCATCAGAGCAACTTGCTGGGTGTGTTCAGTCAACTACTAGAGACGGAATCGCTGGTGGACGTGACGCTGGCGTGCACGGAGGGACCGTCGATTCGTGCGCACAAGGTCGTCCTCTCCGCGTGCTCCAGCTACTTTCAAGCCTTGTTCCTCGACCACCCGAATCGCCACCCCATTGTCATCCTCAAGGACGTCCGCTTCTCCGAGTTGCGTACCCTAGTTGATTTCATGTACAAGGGCGAGGTGAACGTTGAATATTGTCAATTGTCAGCCCTTCTCAAGACCGCTGAAAGCCTCAAGGTCAAGGGTCTGGCAGACATGACAAACATTAATGCCGCCGTGGCATCGAGGGAGGAGCAACAACAACAACAACAACAACATAATCAATTGCAGCAGCAGCAGCAGCACACAAGTTCGGAGACAATTCGGGAGAAGGACAAGGAGAAGGAGCGCGAGAGAGAGCCGGCGAAAGAATGTGAACAACCTCAACAAATCCCACGTGCTCCCAGTGAACCTAACGAGGCTGTTGACATGACCGAGTGTCCAGCGTCGCCCGCTGGTCAAACGAGTCCCTGTCCTGGTCCACTGGCGCTCGATCGACCCAGGAGAGACTCCGAGGACGCAACTAGTTTAGAAGAAACGAGAGGTTCTATTAGTCCAATTTCTGTACACAGTGGCCCTAGTGACATGAGTCTCAGTAATAATACCAGCGCACCTGGAGGAGCGCCACCTTTAAACCTACCGCAGAGTCGGCTTCCGTCCCCGCACAGTACAGAGCCGCTGGCTGGACCTTCGGGGTTGCCTCCTGTGCAACAAGTTCCGCTTGTGAGTGAATCTTCTACTTTATTTTATGCTTAGGTTCTGCTATGCCGGCGCTAGCAACCGTTGCTATGGAAACAGGTGCAGCAGGCTTTTTCCAAAGCAACGGTTGCTACCTAGTACCTAGATACAATTTCCATGGAAACGTTTGTGACGGCTACTATGAAAACGATTACAGGGTTGCCACAGCTCAAGGAATTAGTAATTGAGCTAGTAACTAAGTTGGTAATTTAATAAGTTACCTACTAAGTTTAGTCATTAGTCAGTTAGTAAGTTAATCAAGTTGTTAGTAATTAAGTTAGAAACTTAGTAAGTTACTTATAAAGTTATTTAAAAAATTAGTTAGGAAGTTAATTACTAAGTAAGTTAGTAGGTTAATTAGAAAGTTAGTTAGTTAGGAAGTTAGTAGGTTAGTTAAAAAGTTATGAAGTTAGTAAGTTAGGTAGTAAGTTAAAAAGTTAGTAAGTAAGTTAATTAATATGTTAGTTAGTAAGTTAGTTAGAAAGTTAATTAGTTAATTAGTAAGTTAGTAAGTAAGTTAATTAGTATAATTTGTGTTTTGAGGTTTAGGCCAAAGAATTCAAAAAACCTCAAAACACAAATTATATTACGATCCAAAAACTGACTTTTAACAAATTAATTAGTAAGTTACTCAGTAAGTTAGTTAGAAAGTTAATTAGTAAGTTAGTAAGTAAGTTAGTAGGTTAGTTAGAAAGTTATAAAGTTAGTTAGTTAGAATTTAGAATTCAATTATTTAAAATGAAATTTTAATAAAATTCGTCTCGAGAATTCAATTATTTTCAAAAATAATATAATTTTTCTCCGAAATTCAATTATTTTCAAAAATTTAAACAAAATTCTTGGCAGAATTTCAATTATGCATGTTTAATGCAATTTTCATCAAATTTCTCGAAAAATGAAATTATTCTTAAAAATTTTATTAAAATTTGTCAAGAGAATTCAATTATTTACAAATTTGTTGATAAAATTCTTGAAGAGAATTAAATTTTAAGAAACATTCAATTATTTAATAAAATATTTATTTTTGTATTTTAATAAATGAATTCTCGTTGAATTTTCTAATAAATTTTATATTGATATAAAAATGAATTTCAATTAAAATTTTAGATTATAATTGAATATTGACAGAATTTTCCTAATATTTTTTTTTCTAAAAAAATCAACTATTTAAATAGATTTTTATAAAATTCTTCGCAAAAAATCAATTGTTTTCATAAATAATAAAATTTTCCGAAAAAAAATTCAATTATTTAAAGAAATAATAGTAATATATTAATAATAAAAAAATATTAATAAAAGTAATAAAATTCTTCGCAGAAATTCAATTATCTTCAAAAGTAATAAAAATTCTTCGCAAAAATTCAATTATTTTCACAAATTTAAAATAAAATTCTTCTTATGAATTCAATTACTTTCAAATATTAATAAAAATATTTGTAATAATTCAATTATTTTCAAAAGTAATAAAATTCTTCTCTGAAATTCAATTATTTGCAAAGAATTTTAATAAAATTCTTGTCAAATTTTCAATTATCTTTATAAATAATAAAATTCGTCCTAGAAATTCAATTATTTTCAAAAGTAATCAAATTCTTCGCAGAAATTCAATTATTTTCAAAATTTTTTTTAAATTCCTCGTTGAAATTTTTATTATCTTCATAAAAAATAAAATTCATCCTGGAAAATTAATTATTTTCAAAAGTTCTGATACGATTTTTTGCAAAATTCAATTATCTTCAAAAGTAAGAAAATTCTTCACAGAAATTCAATTATTTTCAAAAAATTTTTTTTTTAAATTCCCTTAAAAATTTTAATTATCTTTGTAAATATTAACATTCTTCTGCAAAATTCAATTACTTACTAATGTTTTATAAATTTCTTCTCAATAATTCAATTATTTGCATAAAAAATAATTGAAAAAAAATTTTTTTTTATAAAGTCTTTTAATATAAATTAATAATTTTATCACTCGGTCATCTTTAATTATTATAAAACATGAAGACATCGATTGCTCCGAGTCGAAGACTCGGAGTGATCGATTTCTTCATGTTTTATAACAATTTTTTATAAGTTTTTTTATTTCAAAAAGATTTAAATTTGAATCTTTTGAGGAATTTTATTTCCTATGGAAAAATAATAATTAAATATTTATTTAAAAAAGAAATAATTGATGTTTTCGAAAAATTTGAAAGAAATTTGTAAATAAATGTAACAGAACATTTTTTTGACTCAAACTTTTTCCTTTAAATTAAAAAAAAATTTTTTAATTCCATTCGCATTTTACTAAAAAAAAAAATCGAAAAAGTCGATTAGTCGCATATTTTTATAGAAAAGTCAAAAAAGTCGAAAAAGTCGCACAATCCGAGCCCTGAATATACAATTCTTCATAAGAATTCAATTATCTTAACAAATAATAGATTTTTTTATGTGAATTTAATTATTTAAATAAATGAGAATAAAATTCTTCGCAAAAAATCAATTATTTTCATAAAATAATGAAATTTTTCTCTAGAATTCAATTATTTAAAAAAAAATTTAATAAAATTCTTCGTCAGATTTCAGTTATTTTCAATTTTTCAATGAAATTTCTCAATGGAATTTAATTATTTTCTAAAAGCTTTAAAATAATTCTGAAAAATTCAATTATTTAAAAAAATTGAAATACAAATTCTTCACAAGAAATTAATTATTATTTTCATAATAAATAATAATATTTTTCTCCGGAATTCAATTATTTTCACAAATAAAATTGTTCACAGGAATTCAATTATTTTTTTAAACAATTTTAAATATAAAATGATAGAAAATTGCATTTATTGTTAACATTTTTTTTTTCAATTTCACCGAAAGAATTCAATTATTATTTTTAAAAATTTTGATAAACAACTTCATAAAAATTCAATTTTAAGAAATATTCAATTCTTTAAAAAATTATTTATTTTTGTATTTAAATAATTGAATTCCCGTAGCATTTTCTAATAAAAGTTGATTTAAAAATGAATTAAATTAAAAAATATTAATAAAAATTTTAAATTATAATTGAATATTAAAAGCATTACTTTTATAATTAATATTTATTAATAGTAAGAATAATATTAATAATATTAATAATATTAATTAATATTGAGAATATTTTTTTGAGTATCTAATAATTTTTGGAGTGAATCAAAATATTTTTTAGGGTCAAGAAAAATAGTGAAAATTTTGTCTGGAAATCAGGGAAAAAGAAAATTAAATTTTTGTGGCAACCCTGAGTTATCTTAGAAACGGTTGCTATGGAGACGATTCCAATAGCAACAGTTGCCAAGGTAACAGGTTCCTTACAAACGGTTGCCATAGAGACAGGCTCCCTAGTAACGGTTGCCATGGCAACAAGAACCCTAACAACGATTGCTAACTGAAAATCAAACCCCCTCCACTAAAAATCAATTTCCCAATTTATTTGAAAACTAATTTAAAAAAATTCATCATCGAAAACTAAACAGAAATCACGACATTTAAAATATTCGTTATTTACAGTCCCTAAAAAAGGAAGTGGACTGGGATCGTTCGACGGATGAACGCAGTGCGAGTAGTGAAATATCGACGGACTATAGGATTCCCCCCGATCCGGTGAGTTGACATTATTTTCACTTTTTTTTGCACATTTAAACTTTATATTTCATCGATTATTCTTGTTCTTGTATTTCTCTTTCCTCTGCATTTATATATCAATATAATGACTACCGCCAGCTCAACCCCGCACTCATCTGCAATCGTCGATAAAATAAGGTCGTTAGGTTGCGGATGATATTGGGACATATTTTTATTCTCTCTTTTAAAAAAAAAAAAAAAAACTTTTTTTAACAATAGCAATGCATACTATAATTGCAGCGTTTTATGTATCGAATTAAATTATTTCTCTTCATTTTGTTTTACATTTACGTTTACTAAAATTATATTTTAGTTACTAAAATACCTTCTTCTATAATGACAGTGTTAAAATTATGAAAGAAGTGTTAAAAATTACAAATATGTGCCCTTTGATTAATGTTTAATAACTCTTGAATATTATCGATACATAAATAATGCTTTTTGTTTTTTTCAATAAAAAAAAAATAAAATTTAATGGAAACGTAAAAAAAAAAAATTTGCATGTGGGTCTGCTGCATGTGCCCAAATGCTTTGCTATATTCCGCTGCTCTCCCTGCCAGTTTTTTTTTAAATCGTCGTATCGTCTCTAATAACCGTCGAACCACTAATTAATAATGATGTTTCCAACCACCGATATAAAAAAAACATTTGTAAATAACTCTTAATAAACCTAAAACAATGATTTTTGATCACACCAAATTTTTTTCCTTTTTCTTGGTACAGAAAAAAATTACCCATTAAATTTTATCAATTTTCATATTTCTTTAAAAACTACACACTTCATAATTAATTAAATTTGAATAAATTCGGAAGAAGGAAAATTTTATGTAATTGGCTTCATTGGAGATTAATTTTCAAAAAAGGGTTTCTTAAAAATAGACTAAAAAATTGATTAGCGAATATGCAATTGTATTTTTTTTGTTAATTACACATTTTTTCCAAGGATATAAAATTGAGACAAAAAACGTATCTTTTGATTCGTTCGAATTAAAAGATTCGTTTTTTGTCTCAATTTTATATCCTTAGAAAAACTGTGTATTTTCGATTATAAATTAAAAACTTAATTCAATTTTTAAATTTATGAAATATCGAGTTTTGAATTTATTATAAAATATAAGACTTTTCAAAATTGAAAAAATGAGTTTTGAAATATGAAAATTTAAATATGACATTCAATTAAAAAATGAGTGAATTGAAAATTATTGCAATTGAAAAACTAAAATCGATTTTGATAAATGATATAAAAAGGGGATGAAAAGAAATTTTCAAACTTGAGATAAATTTTTAGGTTCTTTCACCGATGAAGAATAGCTTAATGTGCATGTTATCGATGAATAACTCAATTTTTCTTTCTTTTTTTTTGAAATGAAACCATTTTTATTCAAAGTGTTCCTCGTCTTTCACTACATCGCTCTCTCTCTCTCTCTTTTTTTTCTCTCTCCTCTTTCTTTTCTACTCGTCAGTCAATCGTCCTTGATATTTTTCGTGTTTTCTGCTAAAAAGCTAAACATTATCTCTACTTCATTCTAACACTCAACATCCTATTCTATTAACAAACCTTCCGAGTCAAATTTTCACAAATAAATTATTTAAAATATTATTTAAACTATTTTTCAAATTATTTAAAAAAAAAAATTCTTTTTCTGAAAATTCATCTTTTTTGAAAATTTCATTTAAAAAGGTCATTTTTCAGAAATTTTAGTTTTGTCAGGTTTAGCAAACGTTTTGTTTTTATCCATCGATCGTAATTAGAAATTGAAAAAATAAAGAATGCTTAATTTTTTAAATCATATCAACGTTCATTGAGAAAAAAAAAATTGCCAGGGAACTTCTTTCGAAAAATTACCATTGACTACGTATAGAATACAATCAAAACTAAGAATAATCATGTTGAAAACAAAATCAATTTAAAAAAAGAAACGATAAAAAAAAGTTGTTTACAAAAAAAAAAAAAAAAAAAAAAAAAAAAAAATTTTACAAACAATGAAAAATATACAAAAACTACAAAATTAATTTACTTTAATAGAATACCCTTGAAAAAACTTGTAATCATTTAAATTTAGCCATGAAATATTTGATTAATCTTAAGAAAACTAGAATCTATAAATTTTCTCTAAAAATTTAGTCACATTTCAATAACAAGAAAAAAGGGGAAAAATTGAAAAAAAATTTTATTTTTAATGACTGTTTTACCAATCGCTGATAAACAGACTTTTTAAGAGTGAAATTTGACTGAAACTATAAGTGAAAATTTGAATTGCTTTAGTTGCTTTTTTTAACCTTTAGTGGGCCGACCACTATAGTGGCAACCATTTATTTTGGTCGAATCTTTTTATCGAATTGACTTCGTTTTTAATTTTATTTTAATAAAAAAAAACTACTAAAATTTTGCGCAAATTTACCGGCCCTCTAAAGGTTAGAAAAAATTTTTGAGCACGTAGGTTGTAGTTTTTTTCTGTAAACATTCTATACGAGTCTTAATGAATTTTTTGTTAATTTAAACACACACTCATCGATTGATGAATGTGCCGCAAAAAAACTTCACCCTTCAAAAATAATTCAGTTCCTAAATCCTTCCTGCCAGCCTTGTCTTGCTAGCTCACTGTCAAGAAGTTGACCTTCGTTTTTGGCCATGGTTGTTTTTACTACATATTTATACATATATATATATATATAAAAAAAATATTTTATATATATACACATATATTTTCTATACGTTATATATCGTTAACAATTTTCTCTATATTCATTTTTTTGGCATATATGTATAATCATATTTATAATAAAAAAAAATAAACTAAGGCATACACATACGTGTCACTACCACTACTAGTACTACTACTACTACTACTACTACTATTATTATTATTATTATTATTATTAATATTATTATTATTATATTTCCATACGATATATATCTGTATTCCAATTGCTGTTTGCGTTAAGTGCAAATATATTGCGCGCACACACACCTAAACATATACATTTTTTTGTATATTTATAAGTGTTTGTACGCGTTTATATACTTATACTCTAAATACGTTGTGCATATACATATATATTGCGAAAAGGAGGGACGAGAAAAAAAAATGGGTGAAAGTAGGTTTCTTTGTTTTGTTATTATATTCTATTTTTTTTTAAGTATATTTAAAAGAAAGAAAGAAAGAAAAATAAAAGCCGCAAAGAGCGGGCGCGCCAAACAAAAATGAGCGTCAACTTCTTGTGCTGCTGCCGTAATTTTCGACTATTATAAAGAACACTTCTCCGTTATAATATAATTTTGTACATATATATATATTGTATCTCTTGAAATCTTTCCGTGACACCACTTTTTTGCCTACAGTAGTGAAAATAGATCACAAAAAAAAAATTAGGGAACGATTCTTTGGGACGATACTACGATCTCTCGCTGTTTAATTAATTACTTCCCAACAGAAAAAGTAGTTTCACATAGCTTTTTGTTTCCAAAAAAATAAACAACTATTCAGTTGCACCAAGTAGTTAAAAACAAAAAAATTGGAGAGAGAGAGAGAGAGAAGCTCTGTAGATCCATCTTTACTTCCTTAGTGATCTTTCAAGAAAGGGGAATAATTTTCTTAATTTCCTGTAGATAAATGTTTTTTCCAGAAAAAAAGAATGGAAAAGTCACTAAAAAGGAAGGATGGTAAACATTTTGAAACCTAGGGATGATTATCCTCTCGGGGATAGTGATCCCAAGGGATGATGATTATTGTCCCAATTAGTGGTTACAACAACAACCTCTAGAGATGTTACAATCTTGGGAGTTTAGATTGAAACAAGTAGAGAGAAAGAAACAGACGTGAATTAGAAATTAGAAAATAGAAACTAAATATTAAAATCAAGATCAGAGTAAAATGTAGAGTCAAAAAATGGTAGTAGAGGAGAAAAGCAAGAAGTTGATGTTCTTGTTTGTTTGGTTGCAGGAGTTGATGGGTGTGGATGAGCGGGTGTTTGCGTGCATGTACTGCGGTGCCTCGTTCCTCCACCAGAGCAAGCTGACGCGGCACATCCTCTCGCACAGCCTCGAGTCGCTCAAGTATCGCGAGCAAGCCGCTCACCTACAACTTCAGGCCCAACTGGGCCTCGAGCCGGGCCTCCATCTGTCCCCAGAGGCCCATTATCCCACTGGCGGTCCAATCGAGCCCATGGACCTCGAATTAGCAGCCCACTCCGATCCAACGTCTGGCGTCGTATTATGCAAATTTTGCGGCAAATCATTTCCCGATGTTGGCTCACTAATTGCTCATCTACCAGCGCACACGGGCGATCGTCCATTTAAATGTGAATTTTGTGGCAAGGCATTTAAATTGAGGCATCACATGAAGGACCACTGTAGGGTACACACTGGCGAGAGGCCCTTCCGTTGCACATTGTGCGGAAAGACCTTCTCAAGGTCGACAATATTAAAGGCCCATGAGAAGACACATTATCCAAAGTATGTCCGCAAGTTCCTTTCACCGAGCCCCGTCGATCCCACCGAGGAAGAAGCACCACCACCCCCGCCACCTTCGCATCATTGAGTCTATCATCATCATCATCATCATCATCTTCTACAAACTCTATCTTCATCATCAGCCTTGGACTCCACTAAATATTTCGTCATCCAACAAGTTTACAAACCTAAACATGCATTTCTCTCCCGCAATCGTCCTTGTTCCTCCCAAAAATTAAAAACCGAAAATGGTATTTCTAGTTAGTCCTGTGATTTTGGTTAGGATGGTTGGAATCGTGCTCAGAGGGAGGGGCACGTTAAACATTTTCATCTCCCTCGCTTAATCAGTGCTTTAAGAACGAAACGTTTTGTAGCTTAAATCGACACATGTAGCTCTTATCGATACATTATTATTGCCGAAGATACGGGGAGGTTTATAGAAAAAAAAAAAATTATACTGACTTGCCGAATCAACAAAATGCCGAATGAAAAATAAAAACCAAGAAGAGGACCGCAAAAGATTTGG